AGCCTCAGAGAGGGTCGTTGTCTGGCCAGGGAAGGCCAAGATTTATGAGGCGTCACTAAAGTTTCAGAGAGGGCTGCCATCTGGTCAGAGAGCCAGGCAGGGGTGAGTTCAAGGCACGGGCAGGCATTCCAAGCAGGATCAGAATTTGCAGTAACTTATAGTAAAGCCAAAATTTTCTTTTCATGGCTTTGTGGCGAGATGGCTCCCAATTTTAGGAGAAAATCAGGTTAGGTCTATCACCCAGGCTGGACCCTGTCTCTACCCACCACAGAGCAATTCCCCAGCACATCTCTCACAATTGCAGTGTGATTGCTGCTGCTCCAGAAGTCACATGGGCATCCAGGGCAGGAAAGGGTGGCAGGAGTAGAGCCGGCTTTCTGTCTCTTTCCACTGGAAGCCAAACATTTCTCAACATCACTGTAGCCGACTTCCCTTCCCTTCAGTGACTGGAACTGGTGACATGAGCACACCTAGCTGCAGGGTGGTCTTGGCAGGTAGATACCCGACTTCCCAGCCTGTTGAGGTGGAGAAGCCAAAAGAAACAGAAGGGAAAGGAATGGGCTTTGATGTCTTCCCCTTTCTTCCCCAGTGCTGACTCTTTGAGGTGGAGTGCTCTCCCGCTCTCTCCTCTCTCCCTCTCCACATTATGTGTGTGTGTGTGTGTGTGTGTGTGTGTATGGTGTGTGTCTGTCTGTGTGTACACATATTTATGTGTACATGTTACTTTTTATTAATAAAAGTGACAATATACATAATTTCTTGCCACATTGACCACATTTTCTCTCTACAAATCACCATTTCTATATAACATAAATAAGAATTTTCATATATTAGATGGTATATCTTAACAAATCTAGAATATGTATTCTAATATCTAAAATAAACATACAAAGGATTTCTAAGTGTCTCTGGTGTGTGTGTTTATATACATGTAATTATATGTATACGATTATATATGCATGTGCATATATATGAGGAATAGGAAGCATTTGTTTATGTACTCTATATACACATTCATATGTGTGCATATATTTATGTACATACATATAGTGTGTGTATGTATATGTGTGTGTGTGTGTGTGTGTGTGTGTATATATATATATATACATATAGTGTATATATATATATACTGGTTGATTTATCCATATGTGCAGTTTTTTACTCCCATAAGAGATATTCTTTACATTTATATTTCTTCATCAAATTGCATGAGCATCATTGCTTTCAAAAGATACTAAGAAGGTTGTAGCAAGTCGTACCTCCACCAGCACATTACTCAACTTTCTATTTCCCCACAGTTTGTCCAGCTTGGATGATGGTAGTATTTTATAACTGTCAATCTGATGGGATAATCAACATTGATTATAAACATTCATGAATGGTGAGCCCACAGCTCTGGGACAATAACTGAATTGCTCCAGATCACAAGTCACTCAGGGATTGGCGTTTTGTTTTCAAATACCAATCCCCTGGGCTTCTGAATATCTATATTAACCTCAGCTACCTGGGACATTTTTGTCCCAGTCTTGTTCTTTTTAAAAATTTTTAAAATTTTTATTGTTTGTTTTTAGTTTTTAGTTGTCAATGGATCTTTATTTATTTATATGCGGTGCTGGGACTCGAACCCAGTGCCTCACACATACTATCAAGCGCTCTACCACTGAGCCACCCACTCCAGCTCTCCAGTCTTGTTCTTTACCTGCACATTTTTCCTCTTTAAAGAATTGTGAATTATTCCACATCGTCTTTGTTTAAGAGCAGTGCCCCTCAGGACTGTACTTTGTATTCTTTCACCAGAATTCTCTTCTCGGTCACAGGTAGGAATTCTGTCCTTAACTTTGGTGTTTGAGAAAGACCATTGGTCATTTGGATGGGGCAAATTAGGATGCTGCTGTTCTGTGTGGAAGAAAAAAAGCAAAGCTCTTTTTCTTTTCATTGGGTAAACACGATCTCTGATATTCTTTTGTTATGTGCACAATGTTGGAGCGGCTCCTGCCCTTTAGGGAAATCTGTTGTCTGCAGTGGAATGAACAAGATGAAGGAGAGCTACATCACTGATTCTCAAAGCCTGACGCTTCTCCACTGGCTGCTATCTCAGGAAGGGGTCCTTCTGCTGCTTTCCCAAGATGTAAGTGAACTTAACATTTCACTTGAAATTTTTCTTCCTTGCTTATATGATGTTTCAAAGATTAGTTTTACTATTCATGGGTATTTTAAGTGTAATCCTATACTATACACTATTTTCTTATGTTAAAACATATTTACTTAACTGTCAAACACAGATTATTGTGGGAATACACACCTAGGGTTGAGGGCACATCTCTTTGCTTGAATCCTTGAGTTCCTGTCAGTTGCACCAGGAGCTACACCCAAGAGGCCGTGAAGATTCAACGTGGACCTGCTCCACATCCATGTCCTTAATACTCAGATGCTTCCTCAACAACTGCTTAAGTGGGGGCTGAATCTCTGGGAGGTTTTACGGGAGCCATAATCCAGTAAAAGTTGCTTTTAGATGCTGGTCTATTAAACCAACATTCATGTGTTGTTAAAAGTGTAAGTATGCACAAGAATATTAGAATACTTTGCATACAAAAAAAGTTTAAGGCTTATAAATTTAATTCTTCAATTATGGAGATATTGTTGGTCTTCACTTTGTAAGGAAATGAATCAAATTCATAATAAATGCATTTAAGTGTATGCTATGTTTCTATAACTACACATAATAATTTATGTGAGCAATTTTAAAACAACTTTTTATAATAAGGAATATATTTTACGTTCACAAATACAATATGAAAAAATCAATATCCAATTTCATTTTCAAAGTGATACATGAAAAAGAGTTTCACGATTTATAGAATTTTAAAATTCCAAGTTACACTAAAATCTTCCAGTCTAATGACTCCCATCCAAAGCAGAATTTTTCTCTACAGTATTAAATTTCTGCTTATTTTTAGAGATCATCTTGATATGGCAGCTGATTCCAATTTCAGGAAGTTAAAAGTGTTGGAAAGTTTTCTTTTCACTCTGTCAAAGTCTGCTGCACTGTAATTTCTACACATTGGTCCAAGTTCTATTCCCTGGAGCCACATGAGACACATATCATCCTCTTCCCGTGACAGCCCATCAAGTATTTGTGAATAATTCTTCCCAGAAGACATTTCTGCTCCAGCTAAACATTTCGTTTAATTAAACCCTTCCTCATGTAACAAGTTGTCTGGCTCTTTTATCATCATGGTTTCCCACCCCAGCACACGATTTTTTTTTTAATGTTGTGATCAAAATTCATAAGTCATGTTACTGATTTCCTCATAGAATGGGGAGATGGCTGTGGGCTAGTGAATTAGTCTGAGAGATGAGCAAACAACACTTTAGATGTTGTCGGACCAGAGAGAATATTCCAGACTGATAGCTCCCTTCATCTAAACACTGTTTCCCTTAATGTGCACAAGGCTATTTCTGCTTTCAGAAAATTCACAACAGACTTGAGGTTCATAGTGAGTTTTCAATTGCGTAAAAGCTGTTCTTAAAATTTTTTTATACTAGCGCTAAACATCAAGCAAGTTTAGTAATCATGTGTTTATATTTTCACTTCATTTGCCAGATAGGAAAGCAAGAAACTTATATGACTAATAAATGAATACATATAGTTTAGGCAATGTTTATTTTTAATTCGAAAAGGGAATTCATCCAGTCATTCATTCTTTAATCCATTCATTGGTCCTCTTGGTAGATATGTAATGAGATGCTACTATATGTTGAACGTCCTGGTTCATGTTGAATATAAAAAATGGACATTGTCTCTGCTCTCATGGGACTTGTGAGAAGACGGACATCAACCCAGATGATTATTGTTTTAAGTGTTAGGCAAGGAGTAGGAAGTGTGAGGTGTCTCTCAAGCCTCCTATGTAGTCAGGATTGAGTACTGATCCATGAGGCTAACGGAGAGGAGATTTTATTTTGTCATGATAATTAACACAGACTAAAAAGGAAAAATATTAACTACATATGAAGGTATTACAACTTAATATCTTATTTATATTACTATCTTGTATCTGTAAACTCTTTGAAACACAAACCCTGCATGTTTTAAAAACTAACTTCTTGAAATGAATGAGAAATCAACTTTTCTAGAACATGTTGGACCTTAGCATTGTATTTCATGTAGCAATGAAATTATCATTTAAAACTTGTATATGCTTCTGTTCTTTAAAATACTGGTGATGATGTCAGCAGGAATACAGGAAGAAGGACTTCTAAAAATACTCTCCTTCAAGAAAGCCATGAGAATATGGCCCAAAAAGAAGAAAAAAAAAGAAAAAAAAATCTTAGTCAACTTTCCCAGAGCTCTGTAAATTAAGCTATATTTTTTTCAGACTTTGGAGTGACCATGTGCTATGCCATAAAACAAGTCCAAAAAATGTAACAGTAGTAAATCCACATGAATATGTTCTCTGGACACAATGGAATAAAATTTGAGCTCAATAATGAAGGAAATTTGGAAAATTCACAATATTTGGAAATTAAGTGACACACTCTTAACCAATAGATTAAGGAAAAACTCAACCAGAAAGAATTCTTTGGGATGAAAGAAAATGAAAACACACCATATTAAAGCATGTGGGATACAGAAAGCAGTGCTTAAAGAAAACCCAGAACTATTCACCTGTGTTAATCAGAGGGAAGGTCATCTGTGTCCTACCCATGGACCCGCTGACTCTCCTGGGACACTGGAAGAACAGGAACGATTTTTGGAGTGATGAATGTTCATGATGGTGTTAGTTGCAGGACTTGGTGAATATACTCAAAGCCACTGAATTGTTCATTTGAAAATGCCTATGAAGTGCATCTCCAAGAAAAGTATTGTTTTAGAGAAAGAAAACTCCATGAGTCCTCCCCACCACTCTCAGAGTTAACCCAGTTCATTGCTATGACTGAGGGGGTCTTTGAGATCTAGCCACCTCGTTGATACTAGTGTCTACTTCCTGTCTTCTTCCTACCTGGTAATCCTGGTGGTGTGGATTTGCAGACTCTTTTACACAATCTCAGGTTCTTGATCCTTCCTTTGTTAAAGAAGTACTTTCCCAGCCCTTGATGCTGCTGGTTCTTTCGTGCTGGAAAGCTTTTACTTTACCCCGTAGGCCTGCCACCTACACACCTACCCTTCCTTGGAACAGGGACCTATTGGGTGGCACTGTAATTCGGTTCCCTGGAGAGAATTTATGTTATCTGCAGTTACAGTTTAACCGTTGCTGGTTGGGTTCTACTGCTATTTATTGTTTCCTAGGTCACATAACATCTCCCGGGGCCCAAGTAAAACTGACTGTGGGAAAGGACAAGGAGGAACAGTTGGAAGTGGCCTCGAAAACCAAAGGACTGAACCAACAGGGCAGATGACAAGGCTGGGAGCGCTTCCACACTGCGTCACCGTACACACTCACGACACTTGGAGTAAGGGCCCTGGGAGATTCACTCAAGTGTGCTGGCACCCAGATGGAGATTTTTAGTAGGCTCAAACCCACTCTTTCTGGTTTTGAACTCACCTTGGGACCAGGCATGTAACAACATTTTTCTAAGAAGTGTTTTTTTGAACATAGTCACTTGGTATTATTTGATTTAAAGGGATTTATTCACAGTTTTAAGAGGGTGACAATGTTTAATGTCTTTTGAATGAGGCAATGCATTTAATGTATTTTGAATGATACTTAAATTTCCACGTCCTGCTGCTTCTTTGCTTTAATGACTCATGTGAAGAAAATATTAAACAACAAAAATACTAAAATGAGTTCATCCATGTCAATTTTTGATAGTACT